AAGGTTCATTTTTGCTTTTGTTTCCCTTGCCCCTGGAGATGTGTCTAGTAAGAATTTGCTGTGGTTGAGATCCCAGAGGTTGCTTCCGTTCTCTTCTAGGATTTTGATAGATTCCTGTCTCACATTTAGGTCTTTAATCCATTTTGAATTTAATTTTGTGGATGGTGTAAGAAAACGGTCCAGTTTCATTCTTCTGTATGTGGCTGTCCAGTTTTCCCAACACCATTCGTTGAAGGGACTGTGTTTTTTTCATTGGCTATTCTCTCCTGCTTTGTTGAAGATTAGTTGACCACAGAGTTGTGGGGAGCACTGTTTTCTAAAATTTTTGTAGTTCTTTCATGCGCTATATGTTTATCTTTCAAAAGACATTAGAATATTGTCTAATATTGACCTTGTAAATTATTTTTCATGTCTGGAAAACAGAAGACATGAATTTTTAGTTTTATGTGTATGTGTTTCTCAAAACTACAAGTAAAAAATGTTTACCTTGGGATCCCTGGGTGGCACAGTGGTTTAGCGCCTGCCTTTGGCCCAGGGCGCGATCCTGGAGACCCGGGATCGAATCCCACGTCGGGGTCCCGGTGCATGGAGCCTGCTTCTCCCTCTGCCTGTGTCTTTGCCTCTCTCTGTGTGTGTGTGTGTGTGTGTGTGACTATCATAAATAAACTAAAAAAATAAAAATTAAAAAATGTTTACCTTTGAGTTCATTTCTTAATTAACTTTTTAAAATTTATTTATTTTTAAAATTATTTTATTTTTTTTCATTTCTTAATTTAATGTGATATTAAATGACACCATTGATATATTTTCTAATTTTTATTTCTGGAACAATTTATTCCAAGTTTCTCCCTTTCCAGTTATGGTCCTTTATTAAGCATAAGTTTCAAAACATTCTTTTTTTTTTTAAACATTCTTGATTATCTAACATGTAAAGTTTTTCAATTTGAATGTTTTTTAGTAATTCCTGAAAATTAGAAATAATATTTAAAAGCTTATATACAACATAGATTTTATTTATTTTTTATTTGGTTAACTCAGTGCTTTTTCAGCCAGGATTGTGCAGTGAGCTCACCTGTGGAGTTAAAAAAAAAAAAAAAAGCTCAGGCTTCTAAGCCTATTGGAATAGGTATTTCCTAGGTTAGAGTCTGGGCATCTATATTTTTAAAAACTTTGTAGCTGATTCTTGTCTACACATCTTCTCAAAATAGCATTTGGATTTCTCTTTTTTTTCTATATATCTCTGTGTTAAGTAGTATTTAAAGCAGTGTCAGGGGTACCTGGCTATCTCAGTAGAGCATGGAACTCTTGACCTCAGGGTTTTAAGTTTGAGCCCCACTTTGGGTGTAGACATTACTTAAAAATAAAATCTTAAAAAAAAAAAAAAGCAGTGGGGATATATTTGTTATCAGTTTTTTTTAGTCCTAAAAAGATTTCCAGCCTTTATTGTTCAATTTCTTTTATGTAAAATTAAAGGACTCCATGGAAGATATCTTTACACTGTGTATCTCTGAGAACAGTTTTATTTTTGGCCTCAAATTCATAGCATATATTGATAATCAATTTTGGAAATAGCTTATCACTTTCCTATAGAAATGAATACTTTCTTAGATGAATTGTAAATGACCTTTTTACTTAATTACCAGTATTTCATTTATAAAGCTTGGTCAGTCAAAAAAGATTATGGGCTTTTATATTTTAAAATTTGTCATGTTCCAGTGATTGAGGTTCAGTTTGAAGACATTAATTTTTTGTTTATTAGAGCATCATTCGTTGCGATGAAGATGAAGCTCACGTTGCGTCTGTATATTGCACTGTATGTGCAACTCATTTGTGCTCAGAGTGTTCTCAAGTTACTCATTCTACAAAGACATTAGCAAAACACAGACGAGTACCTCTAGCTGATAAACCTCATGAGAAAACCATGTGCTCTCAGCATCAGGTACATGCCATTGAGTTTGTTTGCTTGGAAGAAGGCTGTCAAACTAGCCCACTTATGTGCTGTGTCTGCAAAGAATATGGAAAACACCAAGGTCACAAGGTATGAATATAATTAGACTGGATGACTCTATGTAGTTTACCAGCCTACCATTTGTTTCCATTGATCTGGTTCTTTATGCCAAGTAGGGATTGAAAGAGTTCAGTGATGAATGAATTGAGTTTGGTAGCGTGAAAAGAAATGAAAGATTTAATTTCTGAATGTCATAACAAAAATTTAAGAGAGGCTTTATGATTTTTTGTTCACTAAAAAATAGCTTTCCAGAAGGAAACAAAATTTCTATGTGTGCATGTTTTTATAATGCACTGGATTGTGTTGATAATATTTATGTCTGTTGATGAACTGATGTTTATGGTAAAATTATAAAGTGAGTCTCTCGGATTCTTTTTTTTTTTTAAGGGAGGGAGGGAAGGAGAGGGAGAGGGTGGATGGGTAGGGAGAGAGAATATATTTTTTAAGATTTATTTATTTTAGAGAAAGAAAGGGAACATGGTGGGGGGAGGGACTGAGGAAGAGGGGGAGAGAAACTTTAGCAGACTGTGCTGAGCACAGAGCCAGATGTGGCGCTCCATCCATGACCCTGAGATCACAACCTGAGACGCAGCCAAGAGTCAGAGGCTTAACCCACTCTGCTACCCGGACACCCCGAGAGAGAGAATCTTAAGTGGGTTTCATGCCCAGTATGGAGCCTGATTGGGGCAAGGATATGGGGCTGCAACTCACAAACCTGAGATCTCACAAACCTGAGCTGAAATCTAGAGTTGTATGCTTAACCAACTGAGCCACGCAGGTGCCCCATCTTGGACTGTTATTTAACAATAAATGGATTCCCAAATTCTAAATTATTTCTTTGAAGGATAAATAGTTTTGGGGTGAAGGTAAATTAGTATTTGTTATCTTGTGCTTTTTATATATGTGTTATAAAAGCCATTTGTGGTTGATGCTTCTCTCTCTCTCTTTTTTATCATTGGAGTGATTTAAATAGCATTTTATGTCATTAGTCATTACTGTGAGTTCTTTTCTATAATTTTGTTGCACTTTAGCATTCAGTATTGGAACCAGAAGCAAACCAGATCCGAGCATCAATTTTAGATATGGCTCATTGCATACGGACCTTCACTGAGGAAATTTCAGATTATTCCAGAAAATTAGTTGGAATCGTTCAGCACATTGAAGGAGGAGAACAAATAGTAGAAGATGGAATTGGAATGGCTCACACAGAACATGTAAGGACTTTTTTTCTTCTTTCTTTATATTTTTACCCTTTTTACCTCTAACCTTTTATTTTTTTATTGAGCAATTACATTGTGCTAGTACTGCACTAGTCACTGAAAATAAGTTTTTTAAAAAGTCTCGGTCTTCATGGAATTTATAGTCTGTTGTAGAAAAAAGACAGTTTCAAGTCTGACAACTTTTTTTTGTGGCTGAAGTATAGGATGCCTTGGCAATGCATAAGAAGAACATTAATTTGCTGAGTCAGGGAAGGCTTCCTAGAATACAGGGTACCAAACTGAGACTTGAAGAATATATAGTCAGTGAGAAAAGTACGGTGGGAGTGAGTTGTCCCACTGAGGAAAGAGTATGTTAAATGCCTGGAAGTGAGAATTGGACGTAGTATTGAAACAATTCCATTCAGTCCACTTGGAACTTTGAGTATTGGGTGGGGCCTGGCGAGAAAAAATGTTAAGAGAGTGAAGGGCCAAATCACACAGGATCTTGTTAGCCACGTTAAAGAGTTTAGACTTTATAACAAGGGTAGTGATGAGTAGTTGAAAAATTAGCATAGGAATAAAATAATCAGATTTGCATTAAGAAAGGTAGCTCTTCAATGTAGAAAATGAATTGGAAGCAGGGAGACCTGTTAACAGGAGGCTGCTGAAATTATCTGATTGAGAAATGTTTATGGCCTTTAATACTACAGTAGTGAGAATGGAGAGAAGTAGATGGGCATGAGATTTTAAAGTAGTGGAATAGGTAGGTCTTAGTGATTGATAACATTGATTGTATAAGTAACTTGAAGGGTCTGGCATGTTGCCTAGATTTTTATCTTGCCCAAATGAGTGGATGGTGATTTCATGCACTAGTGAGGGAGGAGGAAGAATTTGGAGAGGGGTAATAGGGCCAAGGTAATAATTTAATTAAGGTATTGAATTTCTTAGATCTGTGAAATAATGGGGATGATACCCTCCAGTGAATTGAAGAGTAAGTGGGTGTTGGGAAGTGAGTGTGTTTAACTTTTAAGAAATTTAGCTGTAAAGAGAAGGAAGGAACTAAGGGGATAGTTACGGACTGGCTTTTTAAAATTGAGTTGTGCAGGAGAAAGGAATATTTTCAGATGGGAATATTCAGGGACATACAAAATGCAATGTTTTTCTTTGGTAATCAAACAAATTTAAAGCTAAATCATTGGGGGATAATTCTAGTACTGCTTTGTCAAATATAGTAGTCATTACCCACATATGGCTGTTTAAATTAAAGATCAGATAAAATACAAAGTTTGGTTTTTAGTTTCACAGGTTGCATTTCAAGTATATTCAAGTAAGTATAGCTAGTGGCTACCATATTAGACCACGCAGATACAGAATGTATCCATCCATGTCATAGAAGGCTCTATTGAACATTTTGTGCTAGAATGGAAATATTTTATTCATTCATTCAATCAACATTTCCTGAACACAAAAGTTTTAAACACTCTTTTAGCATTGTTCTAGCTAAGGAGACACTGCTATGTAAGTCAGAAAGCTCTGCCTTTGCAGTTTACATTCTGATATGGGAAAGGGGTCAAAATAGGTTAGATGCTTTGGAGAAAAACAAGAAAAAGGGAGAGTGTGCTTTTATATGGGGTGTTCGTGGATAGACTTCCTGAAAAAGGGACATTGAGCAAAGAGGTAAAGCAGAAGAGAAAGGGAACAATGCTAATATTTGGGGGGAAAGCATTCCAGGCAGAGGGAAGAGCAAGTGCAAAGGCCCTGAAGTACCTGCTGCACTTAAGAAACTGTGTGTAGTGCTCACTTCAGCAGCACATATACTAAAATTGGAATGATACAGCAAAGGTCATTCACATGGTGCCTGTGTGAGGATCATTCAGAAATTTGCGAAGTGTTCAATATTTTTAAGGATTAAGAGGTACAGATTTCCTGTTATAAAATAAATAAATCACAAATGAAAAGCATAGCATAGGGAAAAATCTAGTCAGTCAAATTGTAATAATTTTGTATTATGACAGGTGGTGACTATACTTAATTGTGAGCACTGAGTAATGTGTAGAATTGTCGGATCAATAGGTTGTACATCTGGAACTAATATAACATTGTATGTCAGCTATAGTTTGATAAAAACAAAACAATTGTGGGAAGGCTAAATGCAACTAGAGTAGAGTGACAGAGGAGAGCGTAACAGGAGTTGAGATCAGAAAGGGTCTTCTTGGGTACTTGCTCTTTCTGTCAGGAATGCTCTTCAAGATACTAATGTGGGGGCAGCCCTGGTGGCTCAGTGGTTTAGCCCCGCCGCCTACAGCCTAGGGCGTGATCCTGGAGACCTCCCTCTGCCTGTGTCTCTGCCTGTCTCTCTGTGTGTGTCTCTCATGAATAAATAAATTATGTTTCTGACTTAACATTTTAGAAGGATCGAATCTGGCTGCTGGGTGGAGAATACACTGTAGAGAGCAGGAGTAGATCTAGTGACACCAATTGGAAGACTATTGTAATAAGTGAGAGATGATACTGTCATAGATCAGGTTGGAGAGGTGGAGGTGGTGAGGCTTGGTCAGATCTTGGTTATATTTTGAAGTCAGAATTTTCTGGGGGGCTAGGCATGGAATATGAAAGAGAAGTATTAAGGGTGACTCCAGTGTTTTTATTTTGAACAATTTGGAGGGCTTTGCCAGTTACTGAGATGGAGGAAACTAGCTTTAGTTGTGGGAGACTGGAGATTAGGTATTCCATTTTGCTTGAGATGTTGCTTAAACAGTTGGATACCCAAAGGCTGTGGTTAAGGAGAAAGATCAAGTGTGCCGATGGCAATTTTGGAATTTTTTAAGGATATACACGGTAAATTTTCATTAGTTCACATAAAAAAAATCTTTGTTACAGTTAAAGATGCTTTAAATTAATTTTAATTTCTTTAGGTACCAGGTACTGCAGAGAATGCCCGGTCATGTGTCCGAGCTTATTTTTCTGATCTACATGAAACTTTGTGTCGTCAAGAAGAAATGGCTTTAAGTGTTGTTGATGCTCATGTTCGAGAAAAACTGATTTGGCTCAGGCAGCAACAAGAAGATATGACTATTTTATTGTCGCAGGTTTCAACAGCCTGTCTCCATTGTGAAAAGACTTTGCAACAGGTAGGTAGATTAAATGTAGTTAGAACATACTTTAAGAAGGAGGATTTAAAAGGTTAAGCAGATAATTACCACTAGTTCATTTTGTTAATAGCTATTTCCATATTATTATTATACGTTACTGCATGCATTAACGTGGGGCAGAGGGAGAGGGGGAGAGAGAGAGAAACAGACTCCCCACTGAGCAGTGAGCCCAAAGTGTGGGGTTCAATCCCAGGCCCCAAGATTGTGATCTAAGCTGAAGGCAGACGTTTTAACAGACTGAGCCACCCAGGCATCCTATTCTATATTTTTTGATGGTTGAGGTAGCATAAGAAGGTTGTTTTCCCAATTTTCAAATGATATACTTTTAAAATAAATTAGGTTTAAATTAGGTTTAAGATTATCTTAGTAAAAACGTCAGTCTTACTCATTTCTGTTTGGTTCTGCTCTTATGAGTGGGTAATGTAAGGGTATTTATTGCCTAGGAATTCCCAATAAGCTGTAGTGTATCTCATCTTTATTGACATATTACTAGTAATTGTGTTGATTGCAAATCACTGTAGAGCTAAACTTATTACAGAGCCTATTCTCTTAAATACCTAATTAGACTTATGTGAATGTGGCCAGCCTGTGATCACAACAGTCTTGATCTATTGTTTAGCCCTTATCACACTGAATTGTAATAATTGATGTATATGCCATTTATTAAGTTGTCTTTGAGCTTCAGTCCTATTCTTCTTTGCTCCGTGGTTTTGGGACTGGAGCTCTACAAACCACATATCTGCTTTTCCAGCTGGCTTCTTGTTGGTTTAGGTTCCACTAACAGGAAATTGGAGAGGAACGCTGGAGGGTAAAGGTGGTTTCCTTGGGGTTCCCATTTGCTTTGGGTTCCTGTGAATTTCACTGCTCACATGAGGAGACCACTTTCCTTAGAGACCTGAGTTTAGATTTCATGGGGGCTTTCCTGTAAGTTTCTAAGTTTTAATAATCTATCCTACAGTTGCTTCCTCCATGATACCTCAGAGTTCTTTTTACCCTTTCAGTTACCTAGTTAATAACTACACCTAGTTAATGGTTGGTTCTTCATATTAAATTCTTTGAGTTCACGTAACTGGTATAGTTTTTTTTTCCTGATTTGGACTTGAATGATATAATATGCATTGTTTATCCTTCTAGATGTTGACTAGATGCATCTTATTTATCTTTATATCTGGATAGAAAAAGCTTAATCAAACAGTTGTTCAGTTCATAATGAGTAATCAGCTACACAGCAAAATCAGAAATGGATTATCTTGATCTCATTTACTCGAATACTTCAAAGTATTTTTATATTTATTATGTTGCAAAGTATGCTCGTAGTTACTGATATATTTAGAAGTTTTTTAGAGTTTCTGAAGCATTTCATCAGAGTGACTGGTAATTGTTAATGATACAATATTATCTCACTGTGTTAATGCAAATGAAATTAGGGTCTTACAGTCATTCTTCATATTGACTTAAAATTTTTTTTTAAGTTTTATTTATTTAAGTAATCTCTACACCCATTATGACCCATCATGGGGCTCCAACTCACAACCCTGAGATCATGAGTCATATGTTCTTCCAGCTGAGCCAGGCAGGTGCCCCAACTTTTGCTTTGATTAATGGTCATAGACCCCAACTCTAACCAGTATTCTTCAAAGTTCCTGCTACAGAGATAATTGAACAGACACATGGCTAGACCATGTACATGTTTATTACCAGTTTTGAGAACAAAGCTTAATTATCCTTCCCCTCCAAAAAAATGATGCATCATCTAAATCCAAGGTATGATGCTAAGTGGTGACGATTTGTCTGTTCATTTAGCAAATATGTTTTGAGTGCCTACCATGTGCCAGGTACATTCTAAATATATGTGCTGTATTGGTAAAGAAAACAAAAAACTATAATCTTGTGGAATTAGCATTCTAGCATGACAAAGATAAATTGTAAACTGTAATCATATCTAAATGAGTAGATTATATAACATGTTAAAAGTGGTAGGAAACTAGGTACAAAAAAAATGAGGGTCCAGCAGACTGCGTTCTTAGATAGTGTAAGCATCATTCAGAGAAGGTGAGATTTAGGGACGCCTGGGAGGCTCAGTGGTTGAGCATCTGCCTTTGGCTCAGCGCATGATCCCGGGGTCCTGGGATCGAGTCACGCATCAGGCACCCTCCATGGAGCCTGCTTCTCCCTCTGCCTATGTCTCTGCCTCTCTCTGTGTCTCTAATAAATAAATAAATAAATAAATAAATAAATAAATAAATAATCTTAAAAAAGAGAGAGAGAGAGAGAAGATGAAATTTGAGCAAAGCCTCGAAAAGGAAGAAGGTGAAGGAATTTGTTCAAGCCCTAATGTGGGGAAGAATAGTCTAGCTGAGGAAAGGATTAGAATAGAAACCCTAGGACACCATGCCTGGTGTATTTGAGGAACAGTAAAAAGAGACCACTGTGGCTGGAATAGAGTAAGTGAAGAAAAGGGTATTGGAAGCTGAAATTGGAAGTGATAGGGCATTATCTGTAAGGAAGGCTTTCTGAGTCACTGGAAGGACGGACTTCAGCTTTTATTGATTGAAATGATTGTGAAATTTTGACAAGAATGACTTTGATGTATAAAAAAATAGATTGAAGGAGAGTCAGGATGGAAGGAAGGAGTTAAAAGAAAGGAGGAGTTTGGAGACTTCTGTAGAATTCCACATGAGAAAGAATAGTGGCTTAGCTTGTGGGAGTGAAAAGTGTCCAGATTCTGGACATTCAGTGGGATTCATTTGTTTGTAGGGCATGAGAGAGTAGAAGGTAAGAATTGCAGGGTTTTTGTTCTGAGCAACTGGGGCAACATGCAAATAATAAGCAAAGTTTATTAATTCATAATCAGCTAATGTAAATATGCAACAGTGAGCAAAAACTGTAAACACCATTGCTCTCATGGCTCTTACATATTATTGGGAGATCTCTATCTTACGAAGAATATATTGGTACGTGTGTAGAATTATCTCTGGAATATTTGAGAAACTAGAAAGTGCTTGACTTTGAAGAGAGCCTGGGGATCTAGAGGGGAAGGGAGACTTTTCAATTTCACCTTTAGTCAGTTTTTTTAAAACCAACACATGTATATCTGAGATCATTTTAAAAAGTACAACATACATACAAAAGTGTGTGCATACGTGTTCAGCTTGCTGAATTTTCAGACTGGACATTACCATGTAACTAGCACCCAGATTAAGTAACAGAACACTATGCAGCACCCCTAGAAACCCCTCAGACTCCCTTCTAGTAACTACCTGCCTTCCACTGAGGATAAACCATACCTTGACTTCTAATGCATACCTTATTTTTGTCTCTTTTGGTAATTAATAAAAAAGGAATATTCATGTATGAAGTCTTCATGTCATTTCTTCTTTTACTTGACATTATGTTTGTGAAATTCATATCAGGTATAACTGTGGCTCATTCTCATTGTGGTATAGTGTTGCCTTTCTGAATACACCACAATTTATCCATTCTTCTCTTGAAAGAATTCTCTTAAATTATTGTTAATGCCCAATTATTATCCTAGTCAAATTTACATTTTAGCTAACTTTGAATACTGTTAAATGAATTATTCTTGATTTTTGGTGGTCTCTCTTTTTTCCTTATCTGTGTAAAAGTTTACAAGAAAACTGTTCTCTTTTCTAGGATGATTGTAGAGTTGTTTTGGCAAAACAAGAAATTACAAGGTTACTGGAAACATTGCAAAAACAGCAGCAGCAGTTTACAGAGGTTGCAGATCACA